CATAACACGCTGGTATAATATGTTTTCAAAAAAACTAGTATGAGGTAGAGATTTGTACCAAAGAATAATGTGAAATTTATGGAAAAATCATTATTTAAGCTGCTATTAAGAATTTTTTAGAAAGAGATAAGTAGAATAATATAAGGGGATTATTCAAATGGTACCCAGATATGTTAATCCATGTAAAAACCCCATGTAAATGTAACCCTAAATGTCTTACAATTATTCTTAAAGATTCTAATCCTAAAAATGAAGATTTATTACTTCATAAATCTACCCATGTTAAAGGTGTCCCCCTCTTTTCATGTAAATCTCACATATTCTCATTAAAATGTAAATGAAATGTCTTTTTTCCAATTTCCGTATGTGATTCATCCTTATTAATTGCTCTATTATTTTCAGATTCCTCAACTTTCCTCAATATTTCACAGTATTTCACAACCTGAGCTATTTCATATACTTAAAAGTTCATATTCCTAGCCTGATTATCAATGTTGATCTCATGGAGTATGACACGATATCTTCGATCTAAAATACGAGCTGACAAATTTACGGCATAATAAATAGGCTGAGATTTTTGATGACTCAACGGTGCTATCTTTTCTGTATTAAATGTGACTAGTTTTGTGGTTTAGAACCTCATTATTTTCAATTGATTTGTTTCATAATTACCCAAGAAGATGAAGCTGCCATGCAAAACAAAAAACAAATCCATGCCTAAATAATGATAAAGGACATTCTCTCTCAAAAAGTGCCTTATGTTCTAAGATTTCTCTACCATTTCTTTTATTGGGACTGGGTGGACCTGAACAACTCAACCCTAGAATTTACAGGTCATCTTGACCTGAAAAATGCAGGTATATTGCGGATCATAGTTTGATTAAAATCACACCCATATGGTTATTCCTCAATCAATATATCCCTATTTCTGGATATTCCAGATTTTAAACATAACCAAGATGTGTTTTATACACAGGGAAGCAGCGAAGAGTGCCAATCGGGTATGAGACTTATTGCGAGCCACACAAATTGTGGCAATCAAGTATTCAACTTAAGACTATAGTATAGAATCCTACGGGGTAAGGAGGATTTAGTGAATCACGCACTGTGATAAAGGCTCTCATGGGAGCCACTTGTTAGATACTTGTTGCAAAGGAACGTGACCAGAATAAAGTGACAGACGGCTCAATTGCATTGCATTACACGACAATGTCATAGCATTATGTTATTGCAACTGTATAATAGGCATTCTTTTAGCCTGTCCTTAAAGGTACAAGTACAATGCCCCTGTGTTTCACGTCAAACAAGATCTCGCATATGATCGTGACATTGTCCTCAGTCAACAGTCTCTCCTTTATCTTCATGCTGCATGACCATACAAATTTTAAACAGTTGGCTAAAATTCTCAAATTGATGAAAGATTATACTTTTATGACAGAATAATACAAACGAGCATACTGAATTAACTCAACATTCTCCCCACAATTTTTACCTCAGTTGGGTGCAAAATAATAGTTTTGACAGTAAAAATTCAAATTAGTCATTTGCTATTGCATCTGTAATAAATATAAAGGACCCACGGTCCTGTGCTCACACAGTGTTTTGTGCAGCCAATGATGATTGACTTTATACATGAGAAAGTTCCCTGAAAATGACAAAGTCCTACTTTTTGTCAAATTTTATAGAGTAAACACCAAAAACTGTAATTTCAAGAGCTTTGAAATCTTCAGGGAACATAAGTTGCATATACGGCAACTACTACAAGTTATTTGAAAAAAAGTGTCTAGTATTTACAGAAAATTTGACTTTTTGACGTCAAAATCAGCAATTTCTCGGAAACTGGGCTAACTTGGGAAATGGCGATGATAGGTCAAATAGGCATTATGGATATACATAAAATGAATGTGGATATGACTCATCCGAATAGCAGTTTTAATTTGTGCGGCCAATGATGATGGACGGACGGATGGACCAACAGACAGACGGACGCCTGGTCGATCCCATAGGCTCACTGTGTGAGCCAAAAAACTGTGAGTCAAACAAGAGGCGCCCGTCGACCCACCCAGACAGACACTACATAACCATCATCATGAAAAGTGAATGTCACAAATTCAACAAATACATAAGAAAATGTGCTATTGAGTTATCTGCTAGCATATCAACCTGTTAACTTTATGTCAACATATCTTATTTGAAATGTGACATTACAAATAAAGTTTTGACATTTGCTTGTGTCAATGGAGCTATAAATTATTGAATAAATTAATGTAATCAGTTATATTCAATATTTTTCATCATTTCTTTTAATAGACAACTTGGAGTTTTTCATAAAAAAGTAGGGTGTAAAATGTTTGAAGAAATGTATTCAAAAATCTTAATCTTCAAGGTCTTAATTTTATTTTCTGAAAAAAGTTTCTGAGAGAGATGAAATACAGAAGTTATTGGAGAATTAAGATGCAAAAATGTCCAAATTCATTAGAATTGAATATGTGTGCTCGAAAACCCTAAAAAGCACATAAAAGAATAGTCCTGTAATAAATTCGGAACCTTTTTGAAAAGCCACCTTTTTGAACTTAAGTTAACAACTTTAAGGATTTTTAACCTCTACAGGAACATGACATTAATTTTTTACCCCCTTCAGCCTTGTTAAATATCAATAATATAATCAACAATTGAACACCTTTATACTAAAAGTCAGAATCTGTCAGTTGGTGTATGAATGAATTACCAAAACTGAAAACCAAAACGGAGCCTTATTGAATGTGAATCTCTTTTGAATATGGACACATGGTGAGAACCTCTGTTGAATAAGAACTTCTGTTGAATGTGAACCTCTGTTGAATGAGAACCTTTGCTGGATGTGAACCTCTGTTGAATAAGAACCTCTGTTAAATGTGAACCTCTATTAAATGTTAACTTCTGTTGAATGTGAATCTAAGTCATATTGAAGGAACACCTCTCTCTATGAACAATGCTGAAAGGCCTTATAACAAAATAAAAAAACAACCTCACAATATTACAATTTCTGGCTTTCAAAATCATCATGACATTTCAAAAAACAATATCTGATGTTAATATTCACTCTCTGTAAAAATCTGAGTCTGGATGTCTGGATAGGTTTCTCCTGTTATAATAGTATTATATATCATTTAGACAGCAACATGACACAAAAGTGACACAGGAGTGACACACTGTTAAAATGAACAGAAAAAATGAAAGTCGAGCAATGTCATCAATGTTCAACTCATTGTCATTTTGTCATTGGTTTATATGATACACATTTATAAGGTGACAATGCTTTTGCTGACTTTTGTTGGAGATGCCTTCATTGTCTTGATTCCCTATTATTTTTTTCAGTTAAGGAATGAAACTGCCATAGACTTGGTAAAAGCCTCTAAGGACAGAAACTCAGTGATGAAACATCCTAGAATATTCTTTATAAACAACAGGAGATCAAACTGACCGAACTGTCTCTAATAGCCTAATCCCATTTCTCATTACTCATATCACAAAATCTGTAGATTTCAGTAATCAACTTAAGCAAGTCCAAGAGTGATATCAAAAATAACCAGAATGTCTTATTCAAATGAATATATCCATCTGTGTGGAAAAATATAAATAAGGCATTTAATATGAAAAAAAAATTGTGAATTCATTATCTGATCATACTAGATTGCTGGCTACCACATGGATGTGAACATAAAACATGTTTTTCTACACCAATTGTGTTAAGAAAATCCATCATTGCCACAAGCATAATTATTCAACTGAGAAAATATAGTAAGATTCACATTATAACAATCAATACAGTATTCCTTATAACGCCAAATGCAATCTAAACATGTCATTCTCATAAACAAAATAAATATGAAAAGATTAAAAAACTGTATGTATCAATGGTATGAATCGGAAGCACGGTTTCACAAGAAAATTATAGGGATCAAAATACAAGATAGATTTTGGATGAAATTTATGAATGGCCCGATAAATTATTAGTGCTACCATTATGATATGGAACAAAGTTAAATGCGGGAACACATCCATCAACTTCAATGATAATATTTCATAATTTTCACAGGAAATTAAGTACTGTTCAAATATTTTCATGGTTATATGATCAATCCAACAGGCCAGGAAGGACAATATTTGACAATTCATCTTTTATGATTTACGTGCTAAAAATAAAAATTACGCACTTTGGTGTAAATAATCCGGAAGCTTACAGAATTGTATCTGGCTAATTGGGAGGATTTTTAAATAGTGTAGATTACATTTAAAAAGATTTTCATTCACTCTTTAAAAAACTAATTGATGATTCAGGAACTGATGTAGATCCCAGAGTTGCTTGCATAGCATTAACATGCAAACAACAGCTATTTCTTGAAACAACAAATAAACAAATAACTTGAAAAATGAACATGATGATGTATAATTGATGACGAAACGGCTCCCAGACTTTCGCTCAAATTCACGATGGAGTCAGGTTCAACAAAGAAGCTGAAACTAATAATAAAAAACTAAATACAACATGAATAAATGTAACTATAAATAAAAATAACAAATCATGCAATAATATGTATCACTCAACAGCTTGTAATATTCTCAATAAAATAGAGAATGGAAATAATAAATGCAACAACATTAGAAAAGCTCCTGTAGATAAGCGTCTGTCATAAATAAGTAATAGAAATAGAGACTTAGTCATAATACAACCTGGATTAAAATAGCAAATAAAATGGAGACGCACATGTTGGCAATTGCTGACAGGAAAATGATTTATAATACCATGAGAAATTTCGCATATCATCAACAATGCATAACTGCATAGCAATTACATTGAAATAATATCCTACGGTTTTATTAATCTATGGTAATAACCTAACATAAATTGAATTTATGATAAAGTATCGGGAAATTCCATTAACTGTCATCTACGTATTACCATAATATAGATTATTAAGTTTTTTGTAAAATAATTGGACGTAATTTCAGGACGTTACCTGTTTTATGAGTTGTGAGAGTTTTGCTGGGTCAGGTTTTGTCTCCCCGTTGATGTCTGTCGAGGATGCATCTCCTCCATCAACGTCCATGCTACAGAAATGAATCGCGCTGCAGAATTCTCCCAATCAAAAAATCTACAACATAAAATCAAATCTTATAGAACTTCATCACACAATAAAATACAATTATCATTTATAAACATTTCAAGAAATTACAAAAAAAGATTTACCTTTTTTCACATCCAAAACTTTTTTCCCACTTTTGCCGCAATATGATTGTTGATCAATTATAATAATTTAGCCAGAGCTGATATAGTACACATGCAAGGCATGAACATACTACCATTGACGACTAGCGACTATTGCAATAATGAGCAGTGCTGCCGACATGAATTAGATATTAATATCTAAGTCTGAGAGCATTGGGGAAACTGCGCAAAAATCTATAGATTTCAACCAATCACAAGAGACTCGATTCTGAGAACTAAAAGCTATGATACCCTTAAGGAGACCAACACAACGACTATGTCTACAAATAAAAAAAGAATATAATACCAAAAACAAGGGAAACCTCAAATTCAATGTTGATGAATTCAAGATCAATATATATGACATATACACCTTTGAATCCATATTATTACAGTAATTTTAGAATACAAAATGACTTGTATTGAAAAATACCTAACAAGGGCTAACCACACAACATCATTAAGCCTATTACTAATTAAAATATGAGAAATATATTAAAATATTAGGACATTTAATCATATTCATGAAACTGCGAGATTAATATAATAGAAAATCGCAGTCTTTGTTGAATCAAATTCTCAATTAGGGTGAGAGCATTATTCTCGGACAGAATTAATTGCACAGTGGGTAGATGAAAGATCCAGGATTAGTATTCCCTTCTCTTGGAACATAGATCTAACATCAGAAAACAATCGGAATGACGTCATTTTGAGTCCTGTTATCAAAAGTCATTTTCTAAAGTGTGATAACATTATAGTGAAGTGACAAACATAACAGAATATTCCCGGATTCAAATTGAGATAAGAGAATTTTTCGTAGACAGCACGTAATCGAAAGTACGCAATATAGGATTAAGTATGTCAGAGGGATAATAGAAATTTCATTATTTCTACCAAGTAATTTGTATATACTGTACTGTAAATCGGGATTCAAAATTTTCAACAAAAATTTATTTCAAAAAGTCATAGTGTCACCCTCATATGATAAGCTCAACAATAGTCTGTTTAGATGCTAATATTTACTTATTAAAACATATCCCAAATTATTAAAACACATGATCAAAGAATAAAGAAGAAATGTCAAGTTCCGGTGCCTTTGGCATCTATACATAAGAGGTTCAATGACATTATAATCCTTTTAATATTTTCAATACTTTACTTTAATCAAGAATATAATAGGAATAAAATATATTTTTCCAATAAATGCAGAAAGGCTTAGCAGTTTAATAAGATGTACTATTAGAATAACAAGAAATAGTTATTTTATTAATATCAAGCTCATCCTCCTTATTAATATTATTAATTCATTAGTTAAAACATTGTTAACAATATATTTATGTATGTATTTATGTTTTATATGTACTTTTTATATATTATGCTGTACTAGGATCTCAGGACCCATGTGCCACTGTTAAAAAAGTGTGTGCAAATAAATACATAAAAAATTTTTTTATGCTATGATTATCATACATAATACTTTCTTTTGGTTATTGATAAATATAAACATTTAATTTGAAATTCATCTTCCATTGTAAAAATAAAATATAAAGAGTGACCAAAATTGTCTCCTATATCTTCTAAGAGGCAGTACCTCTTTAAACGATGTGTTATTTCAATCACTTCCTGAACTTTCATTACTTTAATATTTTTTGGTGATGATAGTCATATAATTCAAATAAATCATGATGACCCTTCAAAGTTAGTCTCAGTCCTATAAAATTTGCCTAGGACATAGCGGAAAACCATTGAGAATTAGCTTTACCCAATATAGTTTGTTTAATAATGAGACTTCGGATGTATGAAATTCAGAGGAAGCTAGGTGCTAAGTGAAGCATAAAATATAATCCACAGACTTCGGAATATTGAACAAAGTAGTTGTTTAAGATGATGCCATGATATATGACTTCCATACAATGTGCTTGTAACTCGAAGGCCTAGTGGTGCATAATCTTGATTTATGATCTTATTCCTATGAGGAGACAACTTGCACATTACATCATGCGTTTCTTTGCTGCAGGTGACTTCAGCTTCAGCTGACGGGGATGTCTTGTATTGTGATTATCCTCTATAATTTGATCCATAATGTTTTAGCTTGGATAAATCTGCACTAAAAATAATTATTGTTTATCTTATTAATACTAATATACAATTATCAACTTCTTGTTTACAAATTTATGTAAAAATCAAGAATTTCATTATATACAGTAATATGTAAAGTGCACAAGCCTTTAACTGTGTTGAAGTGGATAGGAGGGGGGGGTCCAGGGTCTTGAAGCAAGACTTAGACTATGTGACTTTCAGGTTAATTTCCAACAGCTGGGTCCCGTGTAATGGACCTTTTAGGGCAAAAATATACCTTGTAAGGCCTTATTTTTTAATTTTAGGCCAAATTATCAGGAAAATGGGCTTTAAATTTTCAAAATTTGGGCCCACTTTTATGTTTTAGGGGCCCCAAATTTTTTCCACGCAAGCGCAGAATTTTTTTCAGACTTCAAATATGCCCCCCTTGTTGGTTTCTGGATCCACCCCTGTAATCTATTGGCAACATTATTTTAAACACACATAAAATCTTGAAATAAACCGAAATTAGCTCCCAAAAAGATTCACTGTTCCATAAATAAATTGAAATCAATCTATTTGAAATGTTTTTGTTTCATTTTCAATTCAAGCTTTTCGACAATTTCACTCAAAATGCCTACCAGAATATACAGGCATAAGAGCCAGTGAGTTGTATGATTTTTTCACAAGAATATCTAATAGTCTGATAAATTGTTCGTAATCTTCTTTCCTTCGTGTCTTGTACTCTCCGGAAATAAGTTTCGAAGAAAGAGCAACTTGTTAAGATTGAGTATGAATTATGACTCTAGTTGTTTTAATTTACCTTGCTTAATCAGGTAATGTCGCATCATTAGACACTCATTTAGAATGATATAAAATATCAAAAGTAAGCAGGCAATTTATCATCGCGGCCAATAGTCATCATTAGAAATTATGAAATATAACTTCGATATGTTAAGTTGTCTCAGGAAAGATTAATGATACAATGTGGGATGTTAAATGTCTCAGTTGCTGATGCAGAAGTTGAATATAACTTAGTAGGAAATGTTTCTAGATGACCATAAATGATCAGCTATATCCATATATGGTCAGCTATACATGTACAGTAAAACCTGTAAAACCAAACATCTCTATATATGAACACTTTTTCTCAGTCGCAATTTGATCAACTCCAATTGACTCACGTATTAAGAAACCTTGAAATGTGAGCACTTGCTAATTCTAAATAAAAGCTATTGGTCAGTCCCAGTGGCGTTTGGATTAGACAGGTTATCATGCAACTCATAAACTAGAAAGAAGTTTATATTCACTTTGAATTGATAGTTATCCATTTCACTAACCTATTTTGTTTAATATCTACAGTTGAACTATTTTTGATGTCAAGAGTAAGAGTTCTTTAGCATCTATTGGTTTGACATCAGTATAGCATTAACAAAATATCACCACCTGTCATTTGTTACAGACATCAACCACCAAATGCCAAACTGAACACTGTCCACAAAAAAGTTGGAGACATATACTTGTGGTGGTGACCAAAAGGATATGCTGCTTGGTCTTGTCATTTTTTATTCTTTAATGTTCTGAAATTTTCAAACCGAATATTTCCAAAAGATCTGCATGGTAAAAGTTACATAATTGGTAGTTAGTTAATGGTATGGTGTTAAAATTTCAACATATAAAAACTGTTGCAGAAATGTTACCTGATCATCTCAAAGGAGCCGCAATTTGAAGGAATTCTTCAACATCATACTTGAACACTGATATTCACATAAGACTACATGTACAAAATAAAAAAAGTTATGACTATAAAAATGTCTCAAAAGCATTAAGGGAATGGGTCTAATTGATAATTCAATTGTTTAGTCCTGCATTTCTGGGACACCATCTACTTTACCCATTGCGTCTTAGCAGCATATGGTGATGAGTATTACATGCTCACCAAGAAAATTGAGGATTTTTGGGCTGATTTGGCGCATTCTGAGTGATTCTAGGATCAAAATATATGATTTATTTCAATTTCAATAGGATGTGGCTGCATATTCTGCGTATGCTACGCCCATGGTATAAAACACATAGTCGTTCTAATAAAAAGATTTATTAAAGAAAATGCATCTGAAGCTCGCATTAAGCCCTTGCTTAATGACTCCCTACCAAGAAATAAAAAACATATGGGCCATGAGTTAAATTGGCAATATGACTTGAATCAACAAAAGCAAAAGATGAATTAAGAAGATACAACTTTAAGGTCATGATATACTTTCAATATATGAAATGAAATATATCAAGAAATTCAGTTTTAGGAAGAAAATATAAGAAAGATATATGAGAGGGTGGTTATATTTGAGGTGATTACCAACTAGAAATCTATTACACTTAGACACTGTAGGCCATTTTCATCTCCTAATTGTCACCAGAAAGCAGATGGAAAAGGAAAAATAAACAATTCTAAAGCCAATTATAGAAATATATACAGTAGGCAGGATGAGCTTTTTTATTTGAGATTCCTTATAAAAATCTGATCCCGAGGCCCTGGGCTCTTATTACCAAGGGATTAGTGTTTGATATGTATAGGATATGCCTGTATTGATATGGGAATGGAGTTTCTTACCATTTGAACTTCATCATAGCAAAATCTAATTTCTTAACGAAAGATTAAACAATGCAATGTACTTTATCTTAGAAGCAGTGAAATGTTCATCTTAACTGCAATGAATATAAAAAAGTTAGGTTCAGGAATTCTCAAACATATGTTACTGTAACGAATACAGATAATATCACCCTGTCTTGACATTGCAACTGAGAGCTTATAGAAAAAGTGATCCAGGGTTC